TTAAGCATTTAGTTTCAGATCTCCCACCCGCTTTTCACAAAGATTAGGACACCAGGATATGCTTGACCGAGAGTGCACCTCCACAGCCCTCGCATTAAGGTAAGTCACGACCGTCTTATGTATAAGATTTGGTAATTTTAGTATGGCCTTAATTTGGCAATTATAACCTGTTTTCTCCTACCTAAACCAACAACCCTTACACCTTCTTTTCTCGGACCACTCTTCAGACCATTAAGCTAAAACGGCATTTTTTAAATCTCAAACTATTAATACTTTGTTTATATTCTGCCGTCCAAGGTGTGTTTACCGGGACATATGTTTCCACTTCAATGGGCATACTTATTAATAATTTTCAGCCTGAAGATATGCCCTAGTAAGAAAAGATGTTCTTCTTGTGGTTCTCTGTAATTCCGCGATGTTATCGATAATATATGCTCTATTTATGTTAGCTATAACACATTTTCTGCTATAGAAAGGTAATTAATAGCTTAGAGAAATCTTCTTTTGGCAAGACTCATAATGCCTGCTTCTACATCCAAACTACACGTAGGTGTGGTCCGATAGGCTCCAAGAATCAGACGGATCCTCGTATTGTGTATTACATCAAGGGGTCAAAGTGTTGATTTAGGGGCAATTTTAAAGACTATAGATCCGTAGTCCAACTAAGATTCGACTAAAGATTTGTACAGTTAAATTGTCTGTGTGCTCCCATCGTAAATTCGCAAGACATTTAATAATATTGGACTTAAACCTGTGGTTTCCAAGACATGCGCTCATCAAGTACGACACCTAGATATTTTAGTTGGAAAACATACTCCAAAGAGGAGTCCTGTACATATAAAAGGGGACTATAGTGCTATAGTTCTTAAATGACAAACATGCATAATCTTGGATTTTGAAAAACATAATTTAAATCCTCTTTTTTCTCCAGCCTGAACAACTTGATTAATTGCTCCTCGCAATTTTCTGTTAATGTTGGCTTTTATAGGCCCTAATAAGAATATAGCAATGTTATCTACATATATAGTATGGCACACATTATCACAGATTTAGTTGATTGCTATTAAAAAAAAGGTTTACTCCGTTTTCCAAAGAGCATCGACTAGAAATAAAATCACAAATACAAACACGAAAGAAATTACTACTTAAAAATAATTCGACAAAAACTGGAATATTACTACGGTAACCCAAACGGTGAAGTGTTTCCAAAATTCCTTACCTCCACGTCATGTCATAAGCTTCCTTAATATCAAAAAGGCAGCAGTCACATGGTGTCTTGTACTTAAAGCGGTCTGAATTGCTTGTTCGAGATAAACGAGACTATTCAAAGTCGATCTTCCCGTACGGAAACCGGACTGAGATTTGGAAATCTGGCCCTTTCTCTCCAAACACAGCGCTGGAGGGATCTTTTCCCTCCTGGAGGAGGGGGATATATGTGCCTCCCTCTTTTGGGTTGCATAATTACCTTTTTCCAAGATTTTATTAAAAATATCTAGAAATAACTAGATGTAACTTAACTTCCTACTTCTTCCCGACAAAAGTAGTATACTATATTATCGGGGCCCGGGAAGCTGTTTTGGATTGTTTTAGCGCACACTCCATTTCACTGTCAGTGAAGGGTTCATTATACAGGTACAAATTTATGGAATTGAAATTTAGTTCCGTCTTACGCGTAATTACGCTCCGGTTTTTCCCTTAAAAAGGGTTTCTCGTAGTTCTGCGAACTGCTCACATTTTGAAAATGGTCTGCAAGCTTTTCTGCTATGACAGTTTTATCCGTTATAGAAGTATTTTTTTCTATAATGTAACTTATTTGTGATGTTTGCTTGCGGCCCGAGATTTTTTGTATTTTTTATGGGTTTATATCACCAACATACCTCTCCCAAGAAGACCTTTTGGCGTTTAGAATAATGCGCCTTGACTTAGCTCTGGCAATTTTAAATTTAATTTGATTTTCCAGAGTTTAGTACCTTTTGTATAGATTAAATGCCCTCTTTTTTTCTTTTACAGCATTTTCGACTTCACTACTCCACCAGGCACCTGCTTTTTAGATATAGGTTTCCAGATCTTGGAACCTCTTCGTTTGCTGCCTTAATCAATGTATCTGTAAGGATAGCCACGTCATCATCAACAGAGGTTTTTTCACTTAATGTTGGAGTGTTTAGGTTGGACCTGAACTTAACCCAGTTGGCTAGATTTAACCATAAAATTTTAGGAATATTAAAACATTGTTTAAATAATTTAATTTTTTCAAATGGCTTAAGAAAAACCACCTGAAATTAAGCAAACTTCAAACAATTATAACGTTTTTATTATAATATTATTATGTTTTATCATAATCAAATATACAGTTATTAAGACATCTGGTATAGAAGATTACAGGGCAAATAAATAATAAACATAAATTTAAACGACAAATTCTTTATTAAAATTAATAAGTAGGTAAAACAGAAACATGAATACATAGTCATTTACTCGTGATTAAATTACTTATATAAAATAAGTAAGTAGTTGATATTAAACTCCTAGTGTAAACGGAGTTTTGAAGAGGTGTCTGTACACAGAATACATTATTACATTGTGATTTAACATGTTATGACAATGTAACACTATTGATCTTCTTAGAGCACAGCTTAAACTTAGCAAACCTAAATTTGAATATTTTGATTAAGTTTAATCTATGGTCACTTAGGGTGTCACATCTTATAACAATTAATTACTTTATTAAAAACATTTTTTGTATATAGTTGTTACAAGGAGTGTTTTTAATTAACAACTACTAAAGGAATAATTAAAGAATATACATTGAGTGGCAGTATCTTATAGTTATTACATAAATATGTATGCTTTTATCTGGCTATACATCTTGCTTTCTGCAAATATTCATCAAAAACAAGATAATTATTAATAATGAATATTTGTCAACCCTTAATCTACAAGGATATTAGTTCCTTACCTAGAATGTCTAAAATAGTGTATTACATTTTCAACAATCTTTATACAAAAACGAGATTCTCCCTGATTATAATTATTAAATTATTATATTGTTTGTATTTGTACTTTAATTCCTGAGTTTATTTTATACATTTAAACACCTAGGTAAGTATTTATAAACAATACAAAAACTATATTATTACAATTTTTGTACTAATCTTATTCAATGGGTCGGTAAAACCATCTTTCCCATCGAGTCAATGAGGTAGATTTTGTATTTGTACTGTTACGTATCCGGAATATCATAGTCTGTAACAGGCAACACCTATTTGCAGTTGTTTTTTTTAATTATTAGAGTGCCTATTTACAAAACTTCAGAAAAAACACTTCCAAACAATCCTTATAAGTCTTATTTAATAGTACTTTTCCTGATATTCTTGTCTTTTTCTTAGTGTTAAATTACATATATTTATTTCATGCATTCTTTATTATTATGTTTATTCCCTGAAAGTAATACCTGATATTATTGCGTATATGAACAAAACACTCGTATAATGAACCTTTTAATACGAAATTTTTGTAAATTTAAACTTTCTTTCTTGTCATATAATAGTACTATTGCTTGGTAAATGGCAGATTATACTCGATCATCAACAATAACATTTCATTGCCACTATCATAACAATTTTACACATAAAACATCATATCGCCTAGATCCAAGAAAGTGCTCGGAGCCGAAACAGAGGAGTTAAGTGCAGAATTTATGTTACATATCACAAAGGGAACAAGACGAGGGCCCGTACAGCAATATTTTTTCAATAACGATTATTTAAAACCGACAAATTAAGATTACGGTGCCGGATTTATGAGCAATAGTTTGGATCTCTATTTAAAATCTAACACTTTAATTATTTTTAAAAGTGCTTAAATAACACATACATCCACAAGAACGAGAAAACTTTATCTACATTCCAAGCCTTTCAAAAATACTATTCCATTTGCGGTCAATATTTAAAAGTGATTCGCGCAGAGTTAACATGTACAAACTAATTTGTGGTTGTATGTGTACTGTTCGTTCTTTTTACCCTATCACTTATCCAAACGTATCAAAATAGCTTTTCTTATCTCTTATCATCACGACATTTTTTTAATGCATTCCGGTAGCAAAATAACGTATCATCGAAAACATTTATGTGACATTACATATATTACAAAACTAATTAAAATAACAAATTAATAAAATTGTTTCGTAAAGAATATTTACATTTAACATAACTAACTTATAGTAGTAGATAGCCTAAAATTAATTTTACAACCTATGGTTCAATAATAAATCAAAAAACCCTGAATGTCTCAAAATCTGCTAACTTATAGTTAAAATATACCCGTTTTATAATTCATTAGCAGAATTTTTAATAATATTTCTATATACACTAAGATAGTATTTATAATACAAAAAGGCATATCACACAGAAATAAATAAACTACGGCCTTAGTGTATTATAAATAAACAATATTTTTTATTATAACACTTAAACACTATACAATATACAAAAAATATTAACAAAAACAAATATAAAAATGTCTACAAATTGCCGACATAATTCTGAGGTATTCTGGTAAATTGTATATCTATTGTAATAAAATTAAATGTAAATGTATAAAAACATTAAATCTACAGATTCTGTATAATTATATTGTTATGTATATGAGGCAGTATAGTAGTCATGTATAAATACTGTAAAAGAGGTAGTAGGTTGTAATATTTTAAATGTAAATGACTAGTTGCTTTAAAACAGTTTTTAAAGCTATTTATTTTAAAAAGACTAATATCTATTTGGTTTATTCTTGTAGTAACAATATGGCAATTGGCAGAACTACATTTTTAGTCAAATGAAAACTAAATAAAGAAAAACTTGAACATTTTATATATAGAACACTAAAAATGTAGTATTAAGACAATTTGTATCTGTATCTTCTAAGTTCCTAACAAAATGACACATTCAGGGCTTCTATAGTAATATTTAATACTACCGATAAATTAAATATAATAATTATTTGAGCTAACGAAATAAGGTAAACAATAAAGAGCTTTTAAACAATGAAAAATTGGTAAATGTCCCAATTGACACACTTTTAAATTAACGTGAATTTAATTCACAGAACCTGAGTTATAACTATTATTAAAGCTAAGTGAATACAAATAACTGTTTAAATAAAAATACTTGATAACCTGAGTTGAAACCTAATCCTAAATAATTATTTCTTGCACTACATGACTAGGAGGAGGTAGTTTCAATATAAAATGAGGCAGACGTTTCCGTTGAGGTAGTTGAGGTTGGATCCTGAGTAATTAAATTATGTGTACCAGTCAGGATATTTACGGTTTTATCGAACCGGGTAAGTACATTTAGTCAAAGTCTTAAAAACTTTAGTTTTCAAAGAAATTAGCTTTAAGTAAAATAACATCAAAGGAGGCCAGCTCCAATGTTCAAAATTAAAAGCATTTTGCACAACAACGTGCTAAATAATCGATTAAACTGGTTTGAAGTGTACCACTGCGTGGTACGTTTGCAGAATGTGTGTAAAGTATTGGGATAACATAAAAACGACGATATTGTATCATCAATAGAGAAGATATTGTACTTGTAGACTAAAAAAATGTGTTGCACGTTGTTGTCAGCTCACCCAAAGTTCAACTAAAGGTATAAAAGTGACATACATACATACATCACCAACACATAGTAATGATGCAAGACCGTCCGTTCCATAAGATTACATACATAATATATTTACATCAGACCTTTTGGAAACGCGTTGTGACGGCTTGTCCGCTACAATATCAACTTTTGCTTAAATTCAATCCTTCTTAAGGATTGTGGTTGAGAACCTGTTGCTGCTGAGTTTGGAACGCCTTGAGGCTTAGCTCGGCCTTATGCTCGCGAGCTATGTGCCTCCGAACAGTGTTGTTCCTGGTAAAGGTGCGCGAGCAAAATGGACAAGGCACTCGAATACCTTGATGCCTCTGTCTAATATGCGCGCGAAGGTTTGTCTCGTAACCGTACAATCTTTCGCAAAAAGGACACTTCAATTTTTTTCCTACAATAAAGAAAAAATTATTACGAACATTTTTTTATGCTAATTAACAAAAACACTACAACATTTTTTAAAATTTAACATTTTTCCGAAGGTAATTAATGATATTCTTAAAAAAAAATCGATAATCAAGTACTAAGACTTAACCCTATTTCCCAGATAACCAAAGTTTCTTAGTAAACCTAAAGAAACGCGTTGTCGGCAATAACAAGCTGGCATATTTCATGCAACAGTAAGCCAATAAGTTGGAAGTCCAAAACATTTCCCGTCAGTTGCATGCAAACTGCAAGAAAAATGTTTAGGCCCAAGTTTGACACGTATTTCCAATAATTTCTGATTAAGAGTTGTATTCAACAGAGGTGTAACCGACGGGCAACACATTTCCTAAAATACCTTGTTGGTCAGTTGCATGAAAACTGCAAGAAATTTGTTTCCGCCCAAGATAGCCGCTTATTTTTAATAGATTCCAGTCAACAATTGTATGCAACAGAGGTGCAACGGACGGCCAACATATTTCCCACAATAAAGAACCGCGCTTGCGCGAGAGTCCCCGCTACCGTTGCTCACCATTTGTTCTTTATAATTTATGGTTTGTTCTGCGAGTGTGTGTACGACGTGTTGATTAATATAAACAAGAAATCTATCAGGTATGTTTTATGCACGCAATAGTTATCTATTAGCTTTAGCTGTACCTATATCCATATGGAAAAATCTAAAAATCCTTTGAAAATAAAAAAAAAACAAAAAAGAAACCAAGACGTAAGTAAATTTTTAAATAATTTGTTATAATGAAGTGAAACTTTTTTCGGCATGTACCTAAATAGAGGCTATAAAAATGTAGGATTTTTTGAAGATGTAGTTTTTTCTTTGAAGTATTATAATTTTATAAGGGTTTTTATTCAAATAACATTAATTTATTTAAAATTTCAGAAGCTATTATAATAGCGTTAATTTTAAATTAATTAATTAATGTAATATCTTTTTTGTATACAAAAATTTGTTGTAGTATACTACAAAAAATTTTTATAAAGCACACCTTACCGCCCTTGTAAAATTTGCATTTTTGAACCAATTTTTATCGCTCTTAAATATATTTGTATACAATACCAGCTAAACATTTTTTAATTTTTTGATAATCAAAAAAGTGCCGTGAATAAACACATTTAGTGGATATTTTAATAGAACCAAATGCTTCCCAAGAAACGACAAAATTTACCATAGTGTAAAAAATTATCAAATTATTAATTAAAATCTGACTGAAAAAATTGTCAAGCCAAGCGTTAATAAATTATTTTTATTTTTCAGATTGATTATGGGGCCTTTACACATTCATAAACTGTTCAGGAAGTTTATCTCCGAAGAGATATGCAATATACATGGGGGGATGAGCAAGGCAATCATCCCCTTTACAACCCTGGTCTTGTTAGGGCTATTTTTGGTATGTTAAATAATGTTTTATACAAACTAAACATATGTTTATTGCTAAACATATATTTATTGCAGGAGCTGTGGGTACCAATAAAAACTTTGATCCACCAACGCGTGTTGAACTTCAAAGAGAGGTAACGGCGAGTGGCAAAAGTTTTGCCGCAAAACAGCGTCAACGTATTACCGCTAAAGCCTGATTTATAGATTTCCTTCCTTCCTTCCTTCCTTCCTCTCATAAAAGATGAACAATACCAAAAAACGTAGTGCCATTTATAGATTCCCGTATGGGAATCTTTAAAAAGCACAACGGTTTTTGTATTGTTCATATTCTACGGAAGGAAGGAAGGAAGAAAGGCAATCTATAAATCAGGCTTAAGCGTCGAGATCCAAACGTAAACAATGAAGATTCCATAAGGCTGCGCCTGTTTGAAGCAAATAATTTATATAATAATAAATATATTTATTATTCCCGGCTGAAGGACGAAAGTCAATGGCCTTTTGAAAAATGTATTTTTTTCAATAAAGAACATTTATTATTATTATTTATTATTATATAAATTATCGGCTTATAAGGTTATTCTGTTGTGTATATAAATATTTATAATATTTTATTTCTTTGTGAATATAGGTATTTTTGTAATAAAACGACCTTTGAAAAAATTCGAGTATGAAAATTTACGCCTAACCCTCTTGTTAAAATAACAATACCAATAAATGAGGCATTACTGAATTTGGTGGCAATTTGCCGATAACGTATCGGAAATTAAAATGAATAGGTAAATGAAGCGTTTGGAACCAGAGTGGCCTAACCCACAAATGTTTTTTCTTAAATGATGTTACAATCATTTTAGGACAATATATTTTTCGGAAATGAAAAACTTTGTTAAAAAAATATATATATATATTGTCCTAAAATTATAAGTTCTGGTTCTCAACGCTTCATTTATTAATTTATTTTAATTTCTGATTCGTTATCGGCAAATTGCCACCAAATTCAGTGAATTTGAATAGGTAAATCATTTCCTATCCGTTGCCCACAATCAGTATACGCAAAAGGTTTCCCGTCTGTTGCCGGTGGGTTGCACACTATAAGTTGTCAGGAAACATTTCCGCCTATAAACTCTTATGTTGTCCACAATAATTATAAGCAAAAGGTTTCCCGTCGGTTGCCGGTGGATTGCACACAATATATTGTTAGAAAAGATTTTTGTCTACAGACAGTCAAATGGTGGCACCCACTTGACAGCAAACGGCTACCATATCAAGAGAACGAATAGTAGGCAACTGACCGGCAAACGGAAGGACGCTGGTTATCTGGGTTGCTAAATTAGAATCCGACATAAGAATTGATTCATCACCACAAGTTTTCGTGAAATTCTTATACTTGTTCATGAATATTTTCCCATCACCGAAAAATCATTAGTAGAGTTTTATTTTCGTTTCAGTTCATAAATGTTAATCTAAATTTGTGTCTGATAACATGCTAAATACTTGGGTTTTATTAAATCATCTTTGGTGACAAAATTTTTGGACAAATGTATTTTTTTCCAAACCAAGTATTTAAAATTCAGTTCATAAATGTTAATCTAAATTTGTGTCTGATAACATGCTAAATACTTATGTTTTATTAAATAATCTTTGGTGTCAAAATTTTCGTACAAATGTATTTTTTTTCAAACCAAATATTTAAACTAATACATTGTTTCTATAGAAAATGTCAATATGAAAACTTTTGATCTCAAAATTGCTCCATAATAAAGGGTGTATCAATAAGAGCGCAAGATTTCAAAGTTTAGTAAAACATGGTTTTAAGTATTAAAGCATTGAAATATTTATTGATTTATAAAGTACACATTTGGAAATTATGTAAAATAACACATCTGGTAAATGGCCACCACGGCTTAACTGGCACAAGCGTATTCTTTTGGCAAAATTTGCAATACCATTATTGAATACATGTGGCGGTATTTCGTTGATAGAGCGTCTAATTTCTGCTTTTAAGGCTTCGATGGTGGCGGGCTTGTTGGCATAAACTTGTGACTTCAAATAACCCCACAGCCAAAAGTCCAAGGGTGTTAAATAGTGGTGAAAATGGGCCTCATTACTGAAAATGATTTTGTCCGCAAAATCGGCATTCACTTCTTGCTGCTCAAAGATCCAATTGGTGAATTTTCTTCGCTGTTCATGGTCTTTTGGCTGGAGTTGTTGAGTCAATTGGACTTTGTAGGCATGAAGATGCAAATCTTAAGTAAGAATTTGCTGAAGAGTGGCTTTTGTAATGTCCAATTCTTGTGCACGATGGCAAATCGACGTCTCTGGACTCTCGGCCACACTCTCGCGAACTGCTGCGATATTTTGTTCTGAAAGAGCTCGTGTCGTGTGTTTCACATCACTAACAGAAGCAGTGCTTTCAAATTTTTCGATTATTTTTTTCGCAGTAGATGAATTAGGAACATTATTTCGAAAAAATATTGGACGCCCTTTACGGATCGTGGCAATGAAACTTTCATCATTTTGATAATAGTGTTTAACAATCAGGACGGGTTGTTCTATCGTGTAATGCTCCATATTTACAAACTCCCATCTGTCTCCTATCAATCTGTCATGTCATTAATCATGTGACATCATGGTTGCCAAACTGAGGCGAAATTCAAATCTTGCGCTCTTATTGATACACCCTTTATTATGTTGGATTTTTAAAAAGTTATAACTCAAAAGTAAAAAAAACGCATATATTTGTGGTTATATTATATCACAAGGTATCACAAGCTAAGAAAAAACTCACAAGAATAGGAGCCGAAACCAAGCCCCTATGTCCGCGATGCAGAAGAGATCAAGACCAAGTTAAAGATAACTTTTTGGGACAATGTAAGGCATTCGGCAGACTAAGGGTCCCTTAGTAAGGGATAAAACTTTTTGAAAGAATATACTCTTAAGTTGGCTTCTCTTGCATGACAAGATATTCTGACCTTCATAAGAATGTTTTGAGGATTTGGTAAGCTGGTAGGGGAGAAAGAGGAGAGTGAGTGTATAATTCGTTTTGATAGTGCAAATGAAAAGGACCATTGAGTCTACTCGTCAGGTTAAATGTATGTTTTAAAAGAAGTACTTACAGATCGCATGACGAGCAGTGGCGGCCCGTCCGTAAATTTTTAATATTTGGATTACATGAATTGTGAAATGGTCAATAAAATTGATTGATTTTATACGTGGAATACCCAGCAACATTTAAATTATTTGAATTTGAAACGACCGCAATTTAAACTAATATTTATAGCTAGATGATTGGCTCAAAAGCAAGCCTGAACTAATTTAGACTTACGATTGGCGTTAGCCTTATTGTCTCGTTCTATTACAATGCGATATCATATTTGTCTCCTTCTCTCGTATTAGCATACGCGAGGCAGGCACGCCTACATCCAAGGAAATAAGCAGGTGTTGTGGCAACACTGTTACGGAATTTTAGATAAATTATACTTCACACGTTTTTCAAAATTCAATAATAAATGGTATTATTTTTCTTATAATAAATCGATTTAATCGAAATTATATTTCTATTCTAAAATAAACATATTTTAACACTATCGCCATCTTGTAGCCATCGCGGTAACCAATAAAATAAATACAAATTCCTTCTTTAGGTTTGTTTTGGTTATAAAATTCTAAACTGTTTAAAGAACAAATCTGTGGTTATTTACGCAATATTTTGTTTATTCTTTTTCTATGAGTTTGTCTATTTTATGATTCTTTTGTAAGTGGTTCCTTCTGTGGGTTTAGTTAATTGAACTTGGTGATTTATGTGAATTTAGTCATTATGGATATTACAGTGAGAAATTGTACCGATATTGTTGACCTTCACATGGTTCTTGCTGAACAATGAAATATTAATTAGACAAAAATGAGGTTTATTTAAAATAAACGTCATTTTTACAATAAAATATATTTCATTGACAAAGTAGAGGATTCCTTTCCCACCATAGTCTAAGTTTTTTAATTAGTTTTAAGTACCTATAGGTTGTGAATTGCGACATCAGTCTTTTTAAGTTGGGTTTAAAAAAATTTCTTCGCCTTTAAATGAGGGCGAAACCCTGCCTCTGCCTCACCAAAATGAAATGTCACGGGCCGAAACTGATGATGAGTTTTATTTAGAAAAATACCTTGTGATAAAATATTATCTCAAAATTTAATATAGCTTCCACTTTTCGGTTATAATTTTAATCTGTTTTAAAATTATGTAATTTTTACAACATTTTTGGCAAAACTCCTATTCTTATATTATTTAAACGTTTTCTTACCATCTGGTGTGTTGACAGTGCCACTCTTGTGGCTTAATTTTCCAGCTACGGAATTCCACATAGCAGGTGAAATTAAGTCGGAGGACTTGTCTCTACTATTATGTTTGTACTGATGCGTCGAAGGTTCCAAAGCACCGTTTGACGAAGGACTGTTGTTTGTCATGCTCGTTACATTTGCCTGTTTTCCGCCATTTTTACTGTTGCCGTTTCCTTTGCCTGTACTGCTAGGCGAGTCTTCCTTTTTTATGTCCGGTTCCATCTTTATTCTTAAATCTGCAAGAAATTAAACAACAATTTAAAATAAATTATTTGACACAAAATTAGAAACATAATTAACAAAAAAAATTGCTTAAATGTACATTTTTTTTGTCTTAAAAAAAAGTCTTAAAGTGTCTTAAAGGGATTTGGTGTTGGTAGATGAAAAAGTTGTAGTATGTTACATTGGACTGTCGTCATCTTGGTTTTCTCGAAACGTTGTGAAAATCAAGAAAACCAAGATGACGACAGTCCAATGTAACATTACTGTCTTAAAGGGCATTTAAATTATGTATTTAAATGGTAATTATACATAAATTTAAGCTACGAAATGCATTTAAGTTACTTTATTAAGCCAACTTTATTAAATTTTTACAAAATTAACCACGGCAGCATTCAAAACTCTACAAAATTATATTCATATAAGTTAATTTAAAACCTTTCTCATCATTTTGGTCAAACTGTAAAGTACCTGATTGAGGCGCTTACAAAAACAGTCCAAAAAGTCTTGTTATTTTTTTTTTATTTAAAAGAATAATAACGCTACACGGCGGTCCTCAAGGGTGAATAGGTTGACCAAAAATGTAGCCAAAAACTATTTACTACATCTAATTGTACTCCACTTAAGCTCTCTAAAACCATTTTTAGGTAAATCGCAGCTGATCCAAAAGTTGTTTTTTTTTAGTTTTTAGAGAAAATCATAGAATTTTATTATTTTTTTTTGTTACATTTTTTGTTATATCAAAAATATGTGTACTTTTGGTTACACTCGAATAAAAATCTAATCCTTTGATCTTTTCAATAACATTTAATAGATTTATACATGATATTAACTACTTTTACAAAACATTAATAACTAAACCTACAAATGACAAGAAGAAAAATCTACTACTGCTTTTTTCATTCTCAAACCATAGCTTGCATTGTCCAAACGATTAATTGCATATTTTTCTCAGGTAAGTTCTATATAAACCAACATTTATAGTGCCATTTCTTGATTCATTAATATCAGAAAAACAGTAGGGACAACAGACAACAGAATTGTGCTTACTGTAATTGTGGGAAATTCCTTTACCTACTTTTTGCAAGCATTCACTACATGTTCTAAAATTTGCTTGTTTGTTCTTCCATTTAGGATTTTTGCGTGTTGGTTTGTGACCTTTAAAACTGGAAATGGTACATAGTCGACAGCTACATGGTGATATAGTGAGTCTCGTTCTTGGATGTACCACAATTTTGTCAAAACCAGGTTCTTTTTAGGATATTCTGTCCCCTATCGTATAAAGACAAACAACAATTGCCACATACTGCATTGGGATTTTTACTGTCATTTTTGTCAAATTTAAAGCAGTGTAGATTTGTCAAATTGTATAGGCTATCATTTAATATAAATTTTGATGGATTGCATTTACCGAAACCTATCTTTCTGCCGCAGACAACACAAACTTTAAATTGAAGTTTGCGAAAAAAAGTTAGTTTTTTAGTGTGCCCCCCAACCTCCTGCCCCCCAATCAACAAATTTCAAAATTTATTTTAAAAGTATTACAGATTTTATATCATTTCTATTTTTTTTTAAATTTAGAAATAGAATTAATAAAAATTTAGAATGGTATGAAATCTGTAATATTTGGACTTTTTAAATAAATTTTGAAATTTGTTAATAAACTGTAGTGAATTATAAATTGCACCACTTTAATTGAATTATCTTAATTTGGGGGGCAGGAGGCTGGGGTAGCACACTAAAAAAAACTAACTTTTTTTCGCAAACTTCAATTTAAATTCTGTCTTGTCTATATAATAACATATAAATTTGGTATGGGTACCATGTCTAATACCTGAGATATTGGTGTACCCAAAATCCACCAGCCGTCACAAAGACTTTTTGCATTATTACTTTGAACTTAAAACACTACTTTAAATAATACAACAAGCACAAATACCTAAAACTTATTTTCTCTGTTCAATAACAATTGACGTGTTGTCATAACAACATATTTTGTTTTATTAGATTCCATGGCACCCTTTGGTAATTGTAACATTATATTGTATTTCACAGTAGTCTTAGCCTACCTACTTTTTTATTAAAATTTTTGGAGTAAGGATGAAAATTGATACTTAACTATGATTTCAATTAATAAATACTACTAAATGTTATTGAGAAGAATAAAAATGTGATTTTCAATAAGATAATGATGAAAATTACACAAACTTTTGATATAAAAAAATTTAACAAAAAAAAAAACTACTAAAATTCCACGATTTTCTTTAAAAACTAAAAAAAATCAACTTTTCGATCAGCTGCGATTTACCCAAAAATGGTTTAAGAGAGCCTAAGTGGAGTACAATTAGATGTAGTAAATAGTTTTTGGCTACATTTTTGGTCAACCTATTCACCCTTGAGGACCGCCGTGGCTATTTGAACCGAGGGGTAAACCACTGATTTTTTCAAATTAAAAATCGCTTACGAATTAACTGCTAAGGATAACAATAACAAGGGTAGTCATGTACAACGCGTCGCTAAGCACTGATTAAGCACCGATTAAGCAAGTTTTCCTTATTGATAACGACTTATAAGGAAACAAATCTCAACACAACGTCCACTAACATTGAACGTTAATCTCTAAGATTTTAAAGTGGTTTACCCCTCGATTTGAACCCATCGATTTGACAAATCGTCACCTGAGAATTATAGTGTTCTATCTGCATTTTCTTTTTTTTTATTCAGGTTAGTCTTGTTTTAAGTCTTAAAGATGATATTTATCTATCTATATATAATTGGGGTAAAAATTGTAAAGTTTAAGGCTTAAACTGTACAATTTCTACCCCAATTATATATATATAGAACAATATGCATCTTTAATACTTAAAACAAGACTAACCTGAATAAAAAAAAGAAAATGTAGATAGAACACTATAATTCTCAGGTGACGAAATATCTATTTTCAATGTCATATACATTGTATTAATAAATTAACGTTTACTGTCCTAAAATATTAATTTAAAATACAAGGTGTCCCTAAACTTATTGGCATAAATTTAGGAAAGTCAAAATTAGACGAAAACCTAAATAAATATTTTTTTTTTCAAGCGGCCATGATATACAACGTTATATGCATGTATAGAGATAGTTGAAGTACGTCTTTTTCATTAGCGGCAGACAAAAAACTCAAAAAAGCCTAGGGATAGAAGTAAATCCATAGGTGACTCAATAGACGTCAAATAATAAAATTAATTTAGCATTTCATATAAAGCAATCACGATGTATTAATTATATTAATTATAATCGCACGAAATATTTAGTAATTATTTATTAAATTTTAATTGAACGAAATAAAGAACAACTAGTTTATTAGTATAATATAATGATGATAGACGAGTCGCCAATGTCGGAACTCCAAACAAATGTCAGTACGTCAAAATTAATTCAAGCGCAGCATTTTGACAGAGCAGTGTTTATTTTTAGTTTGGGCTTTGTTATCTATGGTTTAGGATATTTATCGGCATTGTAAGTAAGGGTTATAAGTTTTTTTACTTTTTATCAATAATTTGTAATGCTTTTAGCCAAAATTTTATACCACATGAGTTATAAGTAAATAAAATAATTCTATTGCTTATCCTATTTATATTACGCCCTTGAAAAAAAAATTGTATATGTTATTTGGAGTAGAAGCTCTTTTTGTGCTTCGTACAGTTGCCTGCCTCAGCTACGCTTCGGCCGTCAATCTCTGTACTCACCACAAAAAGAGCCACTTCTACTCCTTATGACATAATCTACTATTTTCTACTCCTATTACAGAATGTGACACTTCTAATATCACTTTTATCTATGGAATGACATATATTCCGTAAAGTGTTACAGAATGAAATATTCTATCATCTGATGACAGAATAAACACTCGTGGTGACATCTCTGTTTTTAATATCTAACAAATTTTAGACCGATCCAACCTCACTTTCTTCCAATTAAATTATTTTTTATGGTATTTTTTGGAAACGTAGAAAAAGTATAGTCTGAAACACGTTTGGAATTGCATATTCCGCTCTCGTGAAACCGTCAAACTCGCCTTCGGCTCATATGACAAACTCTTCACTCGAGCAGAATATGCTGTATTCCAAACTTGTTACAGAATATACTATTCCTAAAAGATAGAGGGTGATAAAGTGTTACTTATCATATCAGTTTTTTAATATAACTTCTACTATGGTAGTCTTGGAAAGGTAATATTTTACCAAAATACATATTCACACATAATTAGAATTGTTTGAGTGAACACAGTGTCGTAGAAAAGGGGGTTGCTTTGAGCTTATTGTCTCATACAAACTTTGAGGTTATGTTTTTATAAAATTTAATGTTTTTTTTTGATTACACAGTTCGGCTATCATTAAAAAGGTGTACCTCTCAAACTTCGATAAAATAAACCGTTTCCGAGATATTCGAGATTACAATAATTGTTATATCGCATTATTTAAAAGGATTAAAAGGTATATGATAACAAATTTTATTTTTTAATTAAAAAAACTAAAAAGGGCATTCTATGAGACTCGGGAGTTTTTGCCCTGACCGTCGCATTAAAAAAAATGTAGTTTTTTCAATTAAAAAATTGATTATCATATACATTTTAGTCCTTTAATGCGATATAACAATTATTGTAATCTTGAATAAAATATTACCTTTCCAAGTCTACCATAGTAGAAGTTATATTAAAAAACTGATATGATAAGTAACACTTTATCACCCTGTATCTTTTAAACAAATTTAGATTTTTGTCTTATTTTGACTTGCTTAATCTTCTCCTAAATGCCACTAAGTTTAGGGACACCTCGTATAAGAGTAATGTAAACTATAGATGTTATTGTAAGAAGCGCCTCAATTGTTTTATTAATAAAAGTTCTACCTTCTGCTAATCCGGAATCTCTGTTTTCGGTGTTGTTTGTTTCAGGGCATATAGCTGTAGCAGGATCAGGATCAAATCTATTTTCAGGAGGAGCATCGGCTTCGTGTTGCGTGGGCAAAGAGCAAGAACTACTTGATGGTGGCCTGTAGGCCAAAGAGAGCGGTCCTGGAGACCCCGGTCTTCCCATAGTCTTGCTACCGTCTCTCAAAACAGAAGCTCTTACCGATTCCTGCAAGATTTCGTTCGGACTGCGCAGTGGCCTTTTGAGGGGGTTTTCGTAAGCTGCGCTGGAAGTCGGCAAGCGTTGTTCGTAGCCCCTGTAGAGGGGGTGCATGTATGGGGACATGGCAGGCGAGTAGCTGGGGGACGGGCTCGATTGATGGTGGTTGGAACCGCTTGTGTCCAAGTCTTCCTTACGGGCGTGCTTTCTGGATGGTGAGTCTAGCGATGTGTCCAGCATCGAGTTTTGGCTTTGGGCCACTGCTAGCTTTTCATGTTCGATGCTTAAACCTTTTACCTTAAAAAAAAAATAAAATAATAAATACCTAATTCAAATTTATAAAGCATTTCATAACAAATGCTCTAGAGCTCTAGAGCACTAGCGTATCAATAATGTGTACCTAATGATTATAAAGTTTAGTAAATAAATTGTAAATTTATTAAGGGTAATTCCGTCTTAAATCGTAATTTTTTGGTCACCGTAATTTTGTGCAACAATGAGTTTAATTATATAGTTTTTAATTTGACTTAATAACTCCTTTAACTGTTTCTTATAAATGTCATTACTAAAAAATTTAAAATTTTTGCTCATATTTAAAAAAAATTACGTTCTATGACCAAAATGTCACATAAGTTACCTGTCACCAACAGTTTTATTCACGGTCTTATATACAGGTCTTGCAACTTCGCCCAATTTCAATAGGAAAAGTGACCTCTCTAATGAGACACCCACCAGATGGCGCATAGATGTTTAAAGGTCGTTTTTACCTTCTTTATCTTTGGGTTCTACAATCGTTAGATAAGCTCTCTGGTGGATAATTTTCTTAGATAGAAGGTTTCTATGAAAGTTATCCGCCAAATAAGCTGACTTAATCTAACGATTGTAAAACCGGCTCTAAGTCCTTAAAGTCTATGGGATAAAGGTCAAATGAACTACCTACTTATGTTCTGTGAAGAAACATAACCTACATTTTTATAAACAAGCTTGTGTATTTTGTTACAGGGAGTTTTTACTTATTGTTATTGTGATATTCGTTATTGTTATATTATATTGTTCTATTTTTTATTGTTATATTTGTTCTTGTTATACATTTGTATTTGTGCTTTTTAATAGACATGAAGTCCTGTGTTGTGCCAAAATGTAACCAGCAAAGCTATCGTTCCGGCATTAAAATTAAGCGGTCCATGTTTAAAGTGCTAACAAATAAGGAGCGGTTAAAAACATGGCAATGTGCAATAAAAAACATATTATTGACACCTTCACATTTTGTATGATTATTATATAATTAAGCACATCGTGTTGGTGAAATATATATTATTTTAAATAAACAATCAACCCATCCCCGCCAAGACAATAAAAAAATCGGTTATTAATAAATTAGCCAGAATATTGGTTGGTTAGTTTGTTGTGTTACTAGAAATTTTGGTTTTAATATTAGCCAAATTGAATTGGATAGTTTACAAATTATCCAGCTATTCCTAAATAATTTCAAGTAAATTAGCCAAGACCCTTGGTTGGTTTACAAACTAGCCGCTAATTTAGTTAAAAATACGTTTTCAATTAAAATAGCTGACAGTTTGGCTAGTTTATAAACTACCCAGCTACTTAATAAACTATCCATGTTTACACATTAGCCGTAACATATACGTATGTATTTTATACATGTTTGGTCTGGGCATGTGACGGCCGAGGACTTTGTGCATAGAGTATAGACTTTGTTGTCCTATTTTGTTAACGTAAATTATCCGAAACAAACTCACAAATATTAAATTTTTGAAAATGTAAACAAAACATAGAAAAATAATTTAAAAAGTTAGGTTATGGTTATGCAGTAGTTCCACATTTAACTAAGTAGTAGTTTAATTGACTTTACCCCTTCGATCTTAGCGCCACCTAGCGGCTTGGCACGTTAAGGAAGCCACCTCGAAGCTTAAAGTTTGCAAGACCTGTATATAAGACCGTGGTTTTATTATACTTTGACACTATTAAAAAAACAGTATTTTTAAACTAAAAATACAAATTAACAATGTAGTATTTCCGTTTTAAAAGAGATTTTGACCTTAACATGATTTATTTTATGTATTTTTTTGAGCTTTAGTTTAGTCACCCTGTTTTTGGTCCCATAAGTTACTTTATCCATTGCTCCAGTCAAAGTGTCATATATTTTGTAATTTGTTTATTGGATATTTTGTTATAACAATTAACATTAAATACTTAACGTGAGATCTGTGGTTATTGTTAAAATCAGAAGAGTATGTTTATTTAGTAGTCACATAAGTTATTACGTAAATCATGCAATTTTAATTATTTTTACAAATTGTTCGTCACATAATCTTAAAATAGGCTTGTTATTTAAATTATGCAATCCGATTTAAATACCTTGTTTACAAAATTTAAAAAGCCAAGAAAAGTCACATAAGTTACTGTCTCATAAGTTACGGATAAGTGGGAAAATACAAATACTTCAAGAAAAAGCATTGGACGTAGACAATGGTATTGATCTTTCGATAAACAAGTGGGTTGTGGTTAGATATGATAAGAATTTTTTTCCCGGAGTTGTGTGCAGTTTAAGTAGTCAAGACTACAAAATTAAAGCACTTAAAAATATTGGAGAAAATAAATACATTTGGCCATTACCGGAAGACAAAATTTGGTATTGTAAAACCGACATACTGTTTAATATTTCACCTCCAATAAAAGTAACCAAAAGGCTCTTGTCTTTAGATGTTAAGGATTGGAATTTATTAACTTCTATAAGTAAGAAGTGAGAAAGTGCAGTTTATAAATGTATTTAAATTATTGAATAAAATGTTTCAAAAATCTTATCTTGCTAGTTCATTGGTACCTAAATATACGTTATTTATATGAAAAATAAATTATATTTTTGATATAAGTTACCCAGCGTGTCTCATATGTTACAGAGAACAGTTTTTTTGATTTATATATGTAATTTTTATATTTTTTATTTTAAAATAAGGTGTAAAATAATCTATTACCTATATTTTAGAGTGTAAAACTAAGATTTTTTTAAAATAATCTATTTTTGTGTTTTTAGTAACATACGTGAAAATCACATAAGTTACTAGTATTCCTTTTTCCTCAAAAAAACCCAAAAAAATATGAAATGTGTACGGCTCGCATTAGTAATTATTTAAGTAGGGTCTAATACTAAGTACATTACTATAAATTATGACTGTTTATAAAAAATAAATTTAAAAATATTTCCTCTCAAAATTGCGATTTAAGACGGAATTACCTTAAATAAGGTTTAATAATAATTTAGAATTTATAAGACAAAACTTCTATAAAAATTAATTAGTCAAAAATGACTAGTTATCATATACATATAGTAAAAAAGCAGTCACTAATAACAGTTACTGTAGTCCACAGCAATTTGTATCCCGGACATTTAACAGTCAATTCATATGTAAAATTGTCCGCTATATCCGAAAATACCTTCAAAAGTTATAAAAGTAGAGCAGTTTTTAAGATACATATAGTCAATTCCATTTTATGTTAAAAATTGACTATATCTCAAATACTGTTCTACTCTTACAATTTTGACGACATTTTCGGATTTAGCGGATTTTTCATATAAATTGACTGCCAAATAGAGTATACAAATTGATGTTGACTAGCATTATTAGTGGCTGCATTTTTACTATGACAATTACTCATTCATTTTAGGAGAGCAGATAAATCAATTTTAGACAATTTAGAACTCAAAAAAACTTGATAAAAGATGTTAAGAAAAAATATTGTAAATGATACTATAGACTTAGTTCTTCTTAAAAAAAATATTATATTGTTTTGCTTGATTGAAATGAATTTATCTGGTTTTAATGTCTCATAAATATTTTAATGTAATATAATCTATATTGGTGTGGCGCAAAAAAACGACTATCAAAATATTAGTTTTAGTTTTTCTACTCCAATTGCATATTATTGACATTACTTGGGGGTTTAAAAAAAAAATAATTTTAACCAATATAACCCTGCCTAACATGAACTCATTATTCACGTTGTTAGGCATCAGTGATTGGCTGATTTCAATATTCACTGTTATTTGAACCAATCGGGTTTTTAATTGAGAAAAGTAAGGTTAAAAGATGTCAGATTTGTTTATATATACGAGGGGCGACTATAATGATCTTTAACATCGGGGAAAAGTGAGGTTAAAATAAATTTTGTTATCAATGAAAATTAATTAATTAATTGGAGTAGAAAAAGCATGATATTACACTCGAAATAATGAGCATTATTTACTCGGATGAATTGCGTCTCGAGCCGTAAGGCAAAATTTTAATTAGCCAGAGGTAAAAATTTATTGAGTAAATTAACAATAATTATCATTAAAAAACCAAAAAACCCAAAAAAAGAAATAAGGATAAAATAAAGATAAAAATATTTAACTAAAATACCAACATTATTTTAATGTTTTGTTTGTGTAAAATTATTTTTTTAGTACTATAGTGACGCGTGAAACACTAGGGGGGGCAGGGAGCGGCCCCTTTCACAAATGGCCCTATTTACTTGAGCGGCATACATGTATGTACCCATGGGAAAGTATCGTCCTAGAATTTTTTTGACGATCCTCTTTTATTGACGATTTTTTAGACGATATCATCAAATATTGATGACATGGCCTGTAAAGTCGTTTAAAATAGAAGATCGCCTGTTATTTTTGTTGACGATCGTCAATAAAAATACGTGATCGTCATTGTAAAATTGATGATCATCTAAATAAAATGACGATCGTCTATCTAAACGTTAACGATCGTCATACAAATCAGGCGATCGTGTATTCTAAGCAATCGATCGTCTTCAGAAAATGAAGATCGCCTTTTGCAATCGTCTTTAAAAGGAGTAATCGTGAATTTCACAATCTTAAAACTAGGCGATCTCTTTTAATAAACAATGATTTTTAAATTAATGTATACTTAAGTATATAATTATTTTATTATTTTTAAATTCTTTTAATTAAAAAATTTAAATGGAAATTTTTAGTAATTTTTAAATCATTAATATACAAGGTGATCACTTAAAATTGGGCAAAAATTTAAGGGGCGATTTCTTCGGTTATTTTTGGAATATATTGTGCTTTGATGATTTTTGCAAATCCGTTTTGTTTTGAATTAGTTTAATTATGTACTCTTTAACAAGACATTTAGGGGTGATTTTTTGGGTTATTTAAATAATATTAAGCAATGCCGATGGGAGAATAAGACACTAAACTATATGTTTTTAATATTTTATTTTTATTATTTTGGCATCAATATATATTAAATATTAAAATATAGGTATATTTTTAATACACAGTTTATTTTATTTATTAATACATACCAATGATATAATCTTTACTGTTCTTTATTAGTCTAAATTTAGTCTGATTCATTAACCAAAGTTAAGTTAATTATTAATTGTATAATTTTTAGCTGCTGCTATCCATACTGTTTATTTTCAAATGCAAAATTGCAAAAAAATTGCATTTATTATTTAATTATTTACAATTATTATAACATTTTTATAAATTAAATAATGCTTACAAAAATTTAAAACTTTGCAATAAAACTATTTTTTTAAATTAAATAATTATTTAATGCTTTCAAAAATTTAAAACTAGAATTTTTACAATATTTTATATATTATAATTTTTAAACAGAAGCTTGATAAAAATTTTATATGTATAGAAGCTAAAAATCTATAAAAAATATTTTTTATGGCAAAAGGTCCCTTTTATTTAAAAAATATTTAAATGGGGGGTCGGGTTAAAGTGAGTTAAAATTAATTTAGCTTAATTTTAAGAAATTATTCTTTTTTCTTATTTATTTTCAACTATTAACAATTAGTACTTAAAATTCGACGAATGACGATTACATATCACAATTGTCTTTTAAACACTTATTTTTAAAACAATGTCTTTATATTGTGGCCGTCATTAGTCGATATTTTCTCGTTTTTCGAATTCAAGTTGATCGTCTTTTGAGGCGATGATTATTTGGACGAATTTTCGTCTTTAAGGCGATCGTCATTTAAAAAGATCGTTTTAAGGCGATCGTCATTGGACGAATTTTCGTTTTTTTTTTGACGATCTTAGACGATACTTTCCCATGGGTATATATATATATTAGGGTGTTTCAAAAAAATCGACTTTTTGTTTTTCTTCAAATGGTCGGCAAATTCTTTCAGAGGATGTCAACATAAAGACCTCGTCAAAATTTGAGCTTTTAATTTGAAGATTTAGAGGTCGCGTATCGCAATTTTCTATTTCCCATTTAAATAACATGGGCATTTTTTTTTTTAACTTTGAAATTTTATACGTCTGAATCAAATCAACTTATGTCAAGGATCATCTTAGATTTTCATAGTAAATTTAACGCTCTACAAAAAAGGTCTCCTATCATTTTTTTATAAATTGATTCCTTCCAGAGTTATTCGAGGCCAAAGTTTGATTTCCATCGAATTTTCGCGTTTTTTTAACATTTATGGTACAATTATCATTATACGGGTGTTCTGAAATCTGGGGGCCAAACTTAAACAGTGCATTATTCGTATAAAAATAACACTTTTTTTGTTTAATAAACATGTATCAAAAAATGCTCCCTAAAGGAGCTACGGCCCCCTGAATAGGAGCCTAAGAGGATAATTTTTTTTAAACTATTCCTAGAGGGTTGAACATGAACAAATGAATTTTTGGTACTTTGGTAATTTTGACATGCTGAATCTAGATCTATGATCAAAACTGTTAAAATTTAATCATAGGCGTAACATTTGGAGGGGGCAAAGTTACAAAAATAGCCCCAACTTTTTTCTTGGTTAATAATTTAATTTTTTTTATGAAATTATGAGAATTTACAGTTTTTTACGAAAAATAGGTACTCTTGATTTGAATTGCTCAGATGCATCATTTTCGAGAAAAATGCATTTATAAATAAATTACTCTGCATATTATACACATCTCATATTTTCATTAAAACTTTGTAGTAGGCTTTGGAAAAAGTGACGTTTTTTTGTTTTTTTGTTTTTTTTTACAACACTTCCTATGTGTCAGTGATTTTTTTACTACATGATGCTAAAAGTTGAAAAAACGAGAAAATTCGATGGAAATCAAACTTTGGCCTCGAATAACTCTGGAAGAAATCAATTTATAAAAAAATTATAAGAGACATTTTTTATAGAGCGTTAAATTTACTATAAAAATCTAAGATGTTCCTTGCCATAAGTTGATTCGATATAAAAGTATAAAATTCCAAAGTTAAAAAAAAAATATCCCATGTTATTTAAATGGGAAATAGAAAATTGCGATCCGCGACCTTTAAATCTGCAAATTAAAAGCTCAAATTTTAACGAGGTGTTTGTTTTGACATCCTCTGAAAGAATTTGCTGACCATTTGAAGAAAAAGAAAAAGTCGATTTTTTTGAAACACCCTAGTATATATATAAATATTGTTTTTTAATTTTAGGCTTTATTACCCCCAAACTTTAACAAAGTCTGTAATAATTGTAGAGAGGAAATTTAAATAAAATACATTTACCCAAAACACAAAAATCCTTATACTTAAATATTTTCTGCAGTAAGATTAGCCTGAAAACCTTGAACTTATTCCACAGCATAAGTGTTATTCTGTGCCGTTCTCATTGAAACCAAAGCCACTTATTTATTAAACGAGTTCATACAACACACATCGCCTATTGATTTAAGGGTACCCTTTAACAACCTTGAAGCTTACCTGCAAGCATTCGGCCGCCTTCAGGAAGCTGGACAACGAGTCCTGCGACACGTGCACCTCCCCTTTGTACATGAACTCGAGCAGGGCGGCCATGTTGGCTGCCGAGGTGCCATCCAGGATGACAAGCAGGTTCTGGTGCAGAGGAGCGGTCTCGAAAAGGTCCGCCAGGTGTTTACTGCATGCCGCCAGGATCAACTTGTGTGCCTTGAAAGTCACCCCTGCAAAATATCGAAAAGAAAAGTTGAATGGACATTCCTGCAGTTTCTTAAAGTTGTTCTAAAGAAATAAACCTTTTTTATACACAGGGTGTTCCTGAATTATGTGCTAATACAATACAATTATACAAGGTGAGAGAAATTTGTTACCAGAAAATTGTATTTTTTCCAACTATAAAAATTGACATATTATAAAATAAAAAAATTTAATTCGCTTTAATATTAAGTATATTCTTAATATTTTTTGTATTTCATTTAATCTTTAAACAAAAACTTTGCTATGGGCAAAAAAATATTTGAACTAAAATTAAATTTACATCAATTTATAGACATTTATTTGCTCCTCGAATATTACGAGATTTGGAAGTATAGAAAAATCCTAGTACTATAGTACTAGGATTTTTCTATACTTCCATAAGTATACTTATAATTTTATGTAGGTACCTACAAAAATCACATCAATATAAAATATTCCAAAGAATCTAGAGATAATAATAAAATAAGAAAATAAGCTAAAACCTACATTTGCGATAAAATATAGTAGGTTTATCATGGACAGTGTAGAGGCATACACTTTATATTTAAGTTTTAGGTAAGTTTTTCATTTAATTATTTTCTTTGGATTCTATCGAATATTTTATAATAATGAAAATATTAATGAACAAAATTTCAGTGTATAACTTTAAATTTTATCAGTTTTTTAAATGTGTGTATTCAGATTTTTAATTGAAATTAATTTAATTTTTGTATACAATCTAGAAGATTTATCCAAAAATTAAATTAAAATAATATAATAATATATATGTTACGGCTAATGTGCTAGTTTATAAACTAGCTGGATAGTTTATAAACTAGCCAAACTGTCAGCTATTTTAATTGAAAACATATTTTCAACTAAATTAGCGGCTAGTTTACAAAATAACCAAGGATTTTGGCTAATTTACTTAAAATTATTAGGGAAACTAAAATAGCTGGATAGTTTGTATACTATCCAATTCAGTTTGGCTAATATGAAAACCAAAATTTCTAGTAACACAAAATAGCCAAGCTTTAGCTAGTTTGTAAACTAACCAACCAATTATCTGGCTAATTTATTAAAAAAGTGAGGTTACGGCATTGTTTTTCGTTTTGCCGGCTTAACCGGATTTGTTTTGTGCATTTTAACGTTTTTAGAATAAATCATAGGCAAAATTTAAACCCTTCCTTGTTAGAAAACTCAACAACACAACCCTACCGACCCCGCCTCATTGACCCCCCCCCGCCCCATTAGTCAAATGGTCAAAAATGAGAGAAAAAAACCCAAACCAACCCAAACTCAACAACACAACCCAACCGACCCCGCCCCATTGGGCACCCCCCGCCCCATTGAGCAAAAAACCCAACTAAAATGGGCAATAACCAGAGAATTAGTTGATTAGTTTACAAACTAGCTAAAGCTTGGCTATTTTGTGTTACTAGAAATTTTGGTTTTCATATTAGCCAAATTGAATTGGATAGTATACAAACTATCCAGCTATTTTAGTTTTCCTAATAATTTCAAGTAAATTAGCCAAGATCCTTGGTTATTTTGTAAACTTGCCGCTAATTTAGTTGAAAATACATTTTCAATTAAAATAGCTGACAGTTTGGCTAGTTTATAAACTATCCAGCTAGATTATAAACTATCCAAGTTTGCACATTAGCCGTGACATATACATATAATAATCATATACATAAATAAAATACCGGTCATAGCAAGTTTTCAAACTTTTTGTTGCATCTATGGCCTGTTTTAAAGATTTGCGAAAACTATTACGTATATGGTACAATATTTTTTTTATCGAAAAAAAATATTGTACCATATACGTAATTAAATTAAATTTAAGAAAATAAACATAAACGTCAAATATACTGTCTGTTCTTTTTTTGTTGCAAAATCTTTTTTTGTTGCATTAAAAATACCTAACTACAAAATAATGAATAAATTATAAAGTTAAATTACAAAATTATAATTTAATAAATCAAAGTGTTAAATATATTTTTTTTTTGCAGCCCGGTAGAATATTCTTACCGAATTAAAATAAAAGAAATAATCATTATAATCATAATTATTATATTATATGATTATAATCAGCGTCGGAAATTCTTTTTTCTCGATATCAGTGTACGGATACTATCCGTAAAAATTTGGAAATTTTCGTATTACCCTTTGAATAAAATTTAAAAAATTAAAAAGACAATTTTTCTGAAAATTTCCCAATTTTTCCGTTTTTTTTTCTGAAAAAAAACGGTTTTTTTTCCTCCGGCTCAATTTTTTCGGAAATTTTAAAACCCTATGCATGACAAATAATAAATATTAACTTTTAAAAATGAAAGGTTTTGTCGGAACACCTTCGTTTTACTTAATTATATGTCAGGTACATTAAGTATATACTTTTATGAACAGTTTAAACTATTGCCCTAACCATCGAGAATCCAGAAACAATTCTGGATTCTCGATAGGGAAATAACTAATACCAAATCCTAAAATTAATGGTAAAAAAACGTATGTTTTATATCTTTTAGGTCTTACTATTTTTCATATTTTACACAAAATATGTATATTTTTAAAAATATTGTAAAAACTGGGAAAAATGTAAATAACTTAAATACTTCTTAATAAATTTAATAAATTTGAAAAATCCGCTGACAAAAAAATTACCCCGTATTTTTATTATTATACTTGTGTGGCAAAATTATGTTAAATAAAGAAATTTAAAAGCTTTATAATAACTCCCTTATTTTTGTACATTTTATCGTAATTTCTTATATTTTTACTTCAAACGTAAAAAAATATTAAAAATCATTTAAAACACAAATGTTTAGGTAAAAAATTTATGGAATAAACTTAAGGTATTTTAAAATTAACTTAAATGTTTGTTATTATAATTTTTTTTCCTAAAATCCCACCAAACCCTTTTATCACATCATTAATTTCTAGAAATCCAATATGAATCAAAATAATTTTTGAGCAGACTAAAATTTTATGTGTTTAATTATTTTAAAATAGTGTGCATAGTAAATAAGTGGCGAATATCTTGTACTGTAATGTACCATTAAAAATTGCACGTGCTAAAAAACATCTCAGTAAATGTAAATAAAAAAGGGGGCGCAATGCGAAGGAAAGGTAAAAGAAGTCTGCATGATAATGTGCATTCATCTAAAACTTGTCTTGCACGCGTTTAAATTATTTTAATAGGTTTTTTATTTGGTTTAAAATGAGGCACTAAATACGTGGGCACGATGTGGAATATCATATTAAATTAGTATAATTCGTATACTATTTGTACTAAAATAATATTTTATATTCAAAATACTAAAATAATATTTTATATTCAAAATACTAAAATAATATTTTATATTCAAAATATTATTTTAAATTAATATGAATGAAAAAACTGTGTAAAATTAATAAACAAAAAATCGTTTACTAAAACTATGTATAGTCGTCGCGGCGAATGGTTAATTTATCAACAAAAAAACCTATATTATACAGAGAATTAAAAAATTAACCAAACGTTGGTAAAATTAATGTTTTTAATAAAAAAAATAATAATGCAACATTTTCAATAAATAAATATCAATAAATTAAATTAATTAATTTAATTGCTGTCGAATTAAAATTTTGTTTCATTTAATTTTTATTTTCTATAAATTGGTGCCTATTTTAGTTTATTTTATGAAAATAAAAATAACAATAAAAGTTTTTTAAGTATTAAAAAAATTCTTTTAATTTTTTTTAAGTTTTCTTAAAAAAATTATAAATTGCTGGATCCGAGCTGGATCCAGCTGGATTGATGTTGATCCAGCAAAAATCAGCTGGATTAAAAACCCTAATGATAATGACTCATTATTTCCAACTTCGTCTGACTCCAGCCAGAATCTAGATTCTAGATCTAAAAAAATTAAACCTTATCAAAAAAAATACTTGGTAAGTAAGTGTGATTACAGTATAAATGATTTTTTAATGTAATTTTTTTTTATGTATCTTTATTATTATGGTACACACTGTAATTATAAATCCGTTTAAATCATAGACCACAACTCGTCTGTGGTTTAAATATATTTAAAGTATAGTTTAAATAAGTATACTTATTATATTAATTTATATTATTTACATGTTACGTTTACTATGTTTTTGTAATGTTTTAATTTTTGTTCTATTGTGAAGTATTCTTTATTGTGTAAACAAATATTTTTGAATTAATATTTCTATTTATATTTCTATTAATAATAATATTATTGACTACTGCATTTCTAGCATCCTATCAAATTTGTATCAATATTTTATAAATAGTTTACAAGATAATGATTTTTCAATCAAACGGTGCATAAATGTTTAAACGCACAATGTGCGTCGCACATGTTAATAAATAAATGAATAAAAAAATGTATAACGTGACTTGATATTAATGAAGTTTAATTCGCCGTTCCCAACAAATAAATATGTACCAGAAATTTTTATTTAAAACCAAATATTTTGTGTAAATTAATTTTTTACAAAAAAATATGTATAAAATAATTAAAAAATTATAATGTTTAAAAAATTATTACATTATTTATTATGTTTATTTTTATAAATTAGTTTGTGAATCTGGATTATTCAAAAAATATATTTTTTATTAATATTGATGTTAAATTACAATTACATAATTTTTTTGAAATCATTTTGCTAAACATACGCATTTCATTTTGGGAAGGTAAATATTTGTAGAACCTTTTAATTACCACACAAATGCAATCTCTTGTGAAACCAAATAGAAATTAAATGAAGAGAACGAAAATGCGTAACATTGATAAATCTACAGCTAAACTTGTTTGTTTTATCTACTTAATATTTCTGAAAAGTGGAGCACGTCAGAAATAGAGGCTATTTAATTGTGTTCGTATTAATTTAGTGCAAATTTGCATTCGTTTATTAATAGAAAACAAAATATTTTTAATTTTGGTGGTTAATATGGGCTGTATTTCTTTTAAAAAGGTTATAGTGTTATTTTCAGGGCATTCTTAAAAACCTACGGTTCTTTTATCGATTTTTTGTTTTTAATAGTATATTATGTATCAAGTTGGATAAACGCCATTTTATACACGAATTTAATTTAGGCACGAGCGAGCTTGCGAGCGAGTGCTTAAATTAATGAGTGTATAGAAAAGTTTATAAACGAGGTGCATACTATACTTTTTCTACGACAAATAATTATTATTATCTTAAAATGATTAAAATCAAAAATTTGTATAGAGCGCCATCTATGAAACAATAGGGGAATCTGTTTTATAAACAAATTATAAAGGTTATAAATCGAAATGTATTTCTTGAAAATTTGACAGTTTTTTACAGTGAAAGTAAAGAAAATGTTTTATGAGCACTTTACAGTGGAGTCCGTGCCTGAATAGTAAAAGTTATAGTTTACTGCCGGCGAAATTAAAAGGTCAGTACAATGTACATATAAACTTTTCAAATATTGGCGTTGAGAAACTATTTAATACTTTTGTATTGAGATAATAAAATAATTTAACTACTGTCAACTAACTTAAAACTAACTTCAGCCAGTGACTAAAAACCTGTTGCTAACTTCAGCCCGTGACTAAAGCGCCATAAGGCCACAACTTGTCAATGTGTATTTAAAAGGTCACTTAGTGTCATAGAAACATGTACGATAATGGGCGTTTTAAAGGTAGGAGTAGAAAAAATAGTTTATATTATGGAATAAGAAAATACCAGAAAAATTTATTTTCGTGTTTTCATTGATATTGATTTTTACACATTTTTTCTTTTTAAATAGTTTTCGGTCGTAGGGCGATTTTCTCATTCCAAACCTTATATTGGCAATAAGTACTCGGTAACTTTTGGGACACTTGATCGCTAAATTTAATTAATAAGACAAAGTTACATCTTGATAGATGTGCTATAAAAAAATAAAAGTAATTTTTTTAAGTTGGCGAGTAAGATATCCACGAGTTGGTAAAAGTAAAGTTTTGAAATGGCCTTAAGGTATACCGATAAGTTTTTCTATATTTTTTAAATAATGAATACGATTACTTACCATCACAAAATAACGTAACGTCGGCTAGTGTCTCCGACTTAAAAAGGTTGCTAAAAGATGTAGCAAGATTTGTACCAAAACTGTTCCATTTCAGACAAAATTGCTGTTGCTGAGAGTCCATCTCAACACCGGAATGGAAATAATTATGAGCTGTAAACAAAACACAAATTATTATTAATGTTATCGCAATGAAATCCTTTAATTAGTACAAAAATGTATGCAAGGCTAAAAAATAATTTTAACGATTTTTGAGACCTTGAAAAAGAGGTGACAAAACTAATTTGATTTAATATGCGTGTCACTGGTATTTGGAAAAAAAATTGAATGTAATTACAAAGTTTATACATTTTCCCATTATACCTGTAGGAGTAGACGCCTTAAGCCAATTTTAGATAATTCTTATTATAATGCAATTACCAAAACATTGTCTTAAAATTTAAGTTTTTGAATCCGTAAAAACGCAAGACGCATTACTTGTCAAGGTATCATTGCATTTTATTTTAATCCATTAACGTGATTATAGTGCGAATATATTATTTCGACACCTATAGTGTGGCTTTTTAAGGCCAATTTATTTTTAATAAAAATATTTATTGGTTTAGCTACACTTTTTTTGCTTACTTTTTTTACTTACTTTAGATATTCTTTAGTTGTCCTACTGTTAGTAAGTTAGTAAGGGGGCATCCATTAATTACGTGAGATATTTATGGGGGGAGGGGGTCGAGCCAAACCTCACCCAATCTCACGTGGGGGAAGGGTGGTCTCGGCAAATATCACGTAATTTTTTCTTTACGAATGAAACAGTGTAAAATTTTGAGAAAATTGGGTTAAATTAAGTAAACAATTATAAGCAAATTGTTTTTTTTTAATAAATCAAATTGAATGAATCACAGATTAACTTATTTACATTAAAACCATGCATTTAAAAAAATCTCACGTGAGGGAGGGGGGAGGGGGTCGAGCAAAATCTCACGACATCTCACCAAGGGGAGGAGGGAGTCGAAAAATCGCCAAAATTGCCTCACGTAATTAATGGATGAGTTAGTAAGTGGCGGCTGGTGAATTTTGGGTATACCAATATCTCAATTATTAGACATGGGACCCACACCAAATTTATAATATTTTATAATGACATTAAATAAACAAGTTCGGCGCAAACAAAATTTAAATTGAAGTTTGCGAAAATAAGTTAGTTTTTCCTGTTGCCTCACCCGCCTCCAGGCCCCCCTATTTGAGATAATTCAAATTAAAGTGGTGCAATTTATTATCTACTATAATTTATCGACAAATTTAAAATTTTAATTAAAAAATCCAAATATTACAGGTTTTATACCATTTTAAATATTTTTTTATTATAATAAACTTATAATTTTGGTCAATAATTTGAATAATAAGGTATTATATAATATAATAAAAATATTTGCTGGTTAATATTATTTTTGATACAGTTAATATCTATGATTTTCACTCTTCTCAATAAATTAGTTCCATTAATAAGTAAAATAGAAAAACATAAAGAAAAACTCTTTCTAGACCTAGACCACGTTGTCGGCCAAAAGAATTGGGCAGGCAACCGCTGTCGAAAACAACTTACGCAAGGTTGTGCCATTGACGCATGAGACCACGCTTTGTCCATCTGCATCGAAGCGACCGTGAGCTGCAGCTTGTCTGCTTGCTCATTGGGACAAAATGATGGTTTAGGTGAACAGATTGAGAAAACTTTGGTTTAAGTTATAGTTTTTTTTAATATAATTGCCAAGTCGAATATTTTAATAACAAAAATATAATTAAAGCTCTAAAAAAGGATGTTTGATGAATCTTGAAAAATAAAACTGGAAAAAATACCTAAAACAAATCAACCCAATCAAACATCCAATCTAACACGTTTTAACAAAGGAATATTCATTTTATTTACACATTATATTACTGTATGAGAAAAGTCTAAAATATTACTATAAAGTCTAAAATATTAGTATTAAGTCTAAAAAATTGCTTTAGTCTAAAATATTACTAAAATTAAACCATTGTCAACTCCGTTATTATTGGAGCTACAAAATGGTTTAAATTAGCAAATTGGTGGCATTTTTTCTTCTGATAAAAATGTTGAAAACAAAAAAACAACAACAATCAGAGAGTTCAAGTGCTTAATAATTATTTAATTTTAGGTTTAGGGTAGTTATGCAATAAAAATATTTTGTTGCAAATTAAATTGTCTTTAAAAACCCGACGTTGAATTGTTTTTCTGTTTTCACCATTTCCATCAATTTGCTAATTTAACTGACTTTGTAGAAAAGTAAATTGAAAACAAAAAGAATTAAGTAAGCCAATGTAATAGTTATTTATGTTATAAGTAAGGTCAAGGTCACAGATTGAGCCTACAATTGAGCTCTGCACAAAAAGACACTCTTGGACGAATGACATATTTTATCTTTAAGAAACAAGTTATTTGTTAAACGATGCATAAAACGTCCAATTATAATAATAATTATTTAAAGTGGGGTTAGGTGGATCTGGCAGTAGTCGAATTTTGTATCGGTTCAAAGTTTATAAATAATGAAATCTTTTTTCTTTATACCTTGCTCGAAAGTATCTAATAGCAGGGGCGAAAGTTTAACATTTACCCCCTTTGCTATTAGGGACGAAATTAAGTACTTTTGACGATGTATGTATAAAAATAGTATACACCACACGGGCCAAACGTTGAAATCTCGGTCCAGCGCGTCCTTGGTACAAAAATTAAATCTTATATATAGGAGACGCAATTGAAGTTTGCCCATGCATAGGCATTTTTGTAGTAACGCTCGACTTCGGAAATTCTTACTATTGCCAATTTTAGAGATTACCAAATTATTATTAAACTTTTTGAACGAAAGATCGTGTACCAAAAAAATCATTTTTTTGACCCAAGTTTTGTTTTCTTAGAGCGAGTGACATATACACTTTTTTATCTTGTGTTTTTTTTCGGGGGTTTTTCCATATGGGCTTCTTCCCTAGAGTTTTTACGGAGTTTTTTTCATTTTTTTCAGTGGGTTTTTTTCTCTTACCATGTTTAATACCTATCCAAAATATGGTTTTGTTATAAATATAAATGTGACTTGTTCCGAGAATTCTAGAAAAGGGATCTAGCGTCCAGAGCTAATTTTAGAGGGGAAGAAAAGAGCAAACGCGCTAGGTAGCAGCACAAATGGAGAATGTTTAACCCTAACCAACTGTAATAAAATATCCACAAAATTTAAGTAGTATTATTTAAAAATATAATTTTAAAATGATTGTTTCAAAAATAAATGGAACATATTAATGATCCAATTTTGTACCTATGTGAAAATTTTTTGAGAGTTTTTATTAATTATTTTTACTCAAAAATGTGGCATGGATTTTATATAAAACTTTTATTTTTTCTCAGCTTTTTCAAATCCGTCCCAATGTGCCTTGGTCGCGGCTCTTAATTACGTTATTGCGTAGATTTTGTTTTGAATTGGTAAATTTGAAATTTGTTAATTTACGATTGAACTACCTAATTAATTTTGATCAAGACCCAGGAAATAAAATTCATATATACTTTACCACTTGTACTGGTTTCAAACATGTTTTTAAAACAATATTTTAAATAGCTAGTACGTAGATTTTCTCAAAAAGTTTTATAAATATAATTTAATAGTTTTTGTAAAGGTTGTCGTCACAAGAGAGGTTAATTGTCTAAAAAATACTTTTGATATACTGTTCTTGATATTTTATCGTAGAAAAAGAAAGAATATAAATTATTTTATACTAATACTACTTAACTCGATTCTTAAGTTAAAACAAGATGTAGGTACTCTCTAAAAATAAATTAGTCAAAAATGACTAGTTACTACATTAATTAGTGGCTGCTTTTTCACTTATACCATGGTAAACCATGGGATACCATGGTATCTCCAACATTTAATAGCCAATTCTTATGTAAAATTGTCCCCTGAATCCGAAAATATCGAAAATTATTAAAGTAGAGCAGTTTTTGAGATGTACTCAATTTATATTATTTGAAAAATTGACTATATCTCAAAAACAGTTCTACTTTTATAACTTTTAACGACATATTCGGATTTAGGGGACAATTTTACATGGAAATTAACTGCTAAATGTTCGGGATGGATCTACTGCTATTGACAAGAAATATTAGTGGCTACTTTTTCGCTATGGCAATTAGTCATTTTTGACTAATTCATTTTTGGAGAGTACGGTTATACTCATAATCCTCGGAAAAAGACATTACTAAAAGATTTGTTAAAGGTCTCGAGTACCTAAAATAAAACAAATCACCAATTAATCTTCCTTAACCAGCGAAATTATATATATCTGCACCGCTATAGCGGTGCAGATTTTAATTTAAATAAAACCGTGTTTTCCTGCTTTGTATAAAATTGTTTAAGACTTAATATTTGATACTTAATATTTAAATACGCTTTTGTTTTTTTATTAAGCATAAATGATAAAATATTTTCAGAATGCTATATTTTTTGCATATACTTTAAAAGTATGTTTATATTTATATATGTGCATATTTATTTGTATGTACTTCGAGTTAATAAAACCATATATTTTTAGTTAACCTGTCTTACAAGCCCTTGATAATATTTGTTAGACCTAATAATAACCCTATTGCTACAATTCTAATTTAAAACGTAATTAGATAGCATGTTAGATAGGTGGTGGTTCTTTATCAAGAAGGTTAATATAAAATCAATAACTTATCTACATATACATGCGTGTGCAAGTGATCACAGCATAACCTACATTCTCGTCAGGGTAGCGCTAAAACGTAACCCCTCGATCTGGGGACAGGCAACACACAAACACCTTGTTTGAAAAGTTGAACGACCTGTTTTGCGCCTCCCTTCCGGGTAGGTAGGTAATTCTGGCCAGAGTTATCGGACAGGACAAACACATATCGAAAATACATTTCTGATACAAAATTGATTTTGCTAAAATCATTTTAGAGAGAGAAATTTAACGGAGATGAACCTGCAGCTTTAAAAGTCATAAACCAAAAGTTTAAATTATCAAAAATCAATTTAAACATTGTTAAAAAATATTTTGTCTTATTTTGGAGGAATCTTCTAATATTTTTTGGCTTCATAAATATGTTTTTTTAAGAAAACATTTTATTTAAA